AACATTTTCACAGTTGTTTCTCCTGCAGAGCTTGAAATTTCTGACATTTTTACATTTTACTGCCAATGATGTAATGATGGTATATTGCTGCATATAAGGACAAATCTTATCAAGTTGAGCGCGGTTAAAAAAAAAAGTGCCTATGATCAATGAACCTCTCTCTAAATTTGAGTTATTATTCTGAAAGAGTTCCTCTCTTTACTGGACATGATAATGCTTTTAAGACAACACTATGAACCTCTCAGCAACCTTTCCCTAAGTGTGGGCCAAATAGCAGACATGCCATTTGCATCCAGGCATTCTGTATCACACTTTTCATTACATCCTCTAAATAAATCTTGCCCTCCTCACTTGACCAGCCAAGAATAAAAAGGGGGCACACACCACAGGGTGTAACTATAGAAACAAACACAGCAGTCTTTTTATACTTTGTTATTCTTGGATTTCACTCACATTCCTCCCATGGTGAAGAAGTGTCCTGCAAAATATCAAGACAAAAATGTATCATTTGTGTTTGGACACAAATTCTTTTAAGACATAGAAAATTCTGATATTGTTTCCCGGGCCATGAAAGATGAGAAATGAAACTGCTTCTCCAGCAGTACTGCATAAGTTAGTGGAAAACAGCTTCTAAATGTGTCTGTTCTTGAGCTGCAGTCATGACATTCATTAATCCATTAGCTTGCCTTTGTCCAGATTAGACATTAAAGACATGACATGACTTAGCTTCTAAAAGGTAAACAGAGAGAGACGCTGGGTTGAGGCCAGCCCTGCTGCCCAGGATCAAGTCTTCACCAGGGGGCAGCTCATGATGACAGGAGGCACTAATGACCTCATGATAGATGGAAAACAAAGCACAAGTAGATCCCATACCTGTATCCTTAACAGCCACCCTGAGAGAAGATGAGATTTGCCTTCTTTCCTCTCCGTGCAGTTGTTCCATATGTCTGTGTGCAGAGCCAGATCTCCTTCATTGTTGTAAAGCTCTGGCGAAACACGTTTTCCTTAAATAACACAGAATGCAGAGTTCTTAAGTAAACACCTGTGTTTTTGTCGTCTTTTTTTGTGTGTCTTTTTTAATGACACACAAATTTTATACCAATATTCATGGTTAGCAGTAGAGAATGATAAAGCACTGTCACGAGAGGGAGTAATGTTGTTCTGAGTGTACTGCCTTCGGTACGAGGCCGCACCGAATCACAGCATGATATTCAGTACAACAGCACGACCTCGATTGTGACACTGCGTTTATACAACAAAAGCAGCGAGCGCCATATTAGTTAAATAAGAAAACAACAGATTATGATTTGTTTGCTTATTTCATAATTTATTTGGCAACGCCAACCGAAACAGTTCCGCAACTGGACTGGTGCTGGACTGCTGAGCGACTATATAAACATTTTCCTGACCTGCACAGTGCACGCTAGCTTGCTACTTTGTCTACGCTTTACCTCAGGTGTGTGCTGAACTATCCAGGCTTCTTCCCTTCATCCTCTGCTGACGACCAGACACCATTTAATTTAAATGTTATTTCTGGGAATATTTTCATCTTTGCAAAGTTTGTCACAATGTAAGATAGATAACGACCGTTAATGTAACGCTGATTACTGGTTGATAGAACACCTGTGAAGCGGAGTGATACATGTAGTTAAAAGTCCCACTGCTGTTGTACTCTGTATCAGCACTCATGGAATGCCTCTAGTCCAATCAAATTACTTGGTCGGAACTAACTGTTGTATAAATCCTAACGACTTTGCTGATTCACTGACTAAGTTGCAGAATATTTTAGATTTAAATTATATTACATACATGATGATTTGTTAACTTTGTTGATCTTAAAGCGGATGTAATGGATATTTTTTTTAACACTGTCTATCAAACAACAATGCAAAAACAATTTCACAACATGAATGGGGTCGTTCTTAGTGATGAACCTACAGAGAATTATCAGTCTGAGTCTGTATCTTGCGGAGCTTTATAGTAAGTTTCAGGTCATTGTTTAGCTGCAACTCTACCGTTTTTGTTCACTGTCATATGCTCTTTCGGCCACTACAGGAAGATATATCCAGAGAAAACGCTCTAAAACCCACTGTACTGTACCGTCTCAGCACCAAACAGCCGACGGACACTGTTAGCCGCTAGCTAGCTGGTGAATATGATGTATATATTATATACAATAATGCAGCATTTACAGCTAAAGAGTTAAGTATTTTCCTCAGGAGTTAGTAAAAACCAAAAAGATAAAGTGAAGTTAAAGTGAATATTAGACTTACATTCACCGGTTATGTTCACAACTGGTTTCCACTGTCCCCAAGTTGCCGAAAAATATCGTTTTTGTAGGTTTATCCTCCTCGAGCACCATCAACAGGTTTTTTTTAGATCTGGTTTGTACCCATCAGCCTCTGCTGTACTTTGTGTTTGGGCGCTAAGTAGTGAATGTAAGCATGCTAACATGTTAAACTAAGAGGGTGACATGGAAAATATCACACCTGTTAAACATCAGCATGATTGTCATTGTGAGCATGTTAGCATGCTAACTCTAGCATTTATCTCGAAGCATCAGTGTGTAAGTACAGGAGCTGCTAGCATAAATGAATGAATATTGGTCTTATTTTTCTTAAATATGATTAACTTGTGATGTAATGAAGGACCACAGTCCATATACTAAGAGTATAGGTCTAAAATTAACACAAAAAGAAAATTGAATATAAAATGCATTATTTTAATTGAGGCAATATAGTTGATTTAGTGGTGTCAGAAATAGGGCAGGAAATAATAGACTTAAATCATTATAACATTCCACAGTGTAGCACGCTGACAGAAGTGTTAATGGATGTTTTCCCTCTACAGAAGTTTTAGTTTTAGTGATCATTCTTCACATTCTGAGCGTGTCCTTAACATTTATCACTCGAGAACATCTCAACCATTCATGCAGCTGATGAACAGCTAAGTCCAGCTGTGTTAAACACTTTTAGATGAGTACTACTGTCAGTGTGTGTGCGCACATCAGTGTGCCTAGAGACAATACAGAAGGTCAACTACAGGTAAAGGTCTAACTCTGAAGCATAAGAGTCAGCTTCCTTCTCAGACACACTGCTCCTGCTGTACTGCTCTTACATACATTTCATTCAGTGAATACAGAAATTCCAGTGCACTGAGGAGAATATATCTGCAGAATACATAAGAACATAAATACATTTGACACAGTCAAATATACACACTCAAAAATAAATCAGTTCTCTATCTCTCTTATCTAGTAAACACAAAATATGTCTCCCTGCATCAAGCGTTTCAGCCACGTAATAACTTTATGTTTTTCAAAATAGAGTTATTAATTTCCACTTACTTGCATTATATAATTGCAAAACAATATTGAACATCTAATACCCCTAGGTGATTTCCAACTATTAACCAAGAACATATTGTTTGTGTGTGTTATGTGTGACTGAACAATGTTTATTGGTTGTTTTTGCTGTACTGTATTTTCCTGCTTTACTCAAACTCACTGAGATTGCCTGATTAAATAAAGGTTATAAAGGAACATTTTAAAAGATCACCCGAAGAGTGTGTGGAGTCACTCAGGAAAGTAGCTTTGACAGATTCTTTGAGAGAGTTGGTTGACCCCTAATAAACTTGTTGTGTCCTCAGAATAGCTGAAGAAGATTGCCCCTACATTCTCTTTGCTCTAGCGCTACTCGCTAGCATCCTAATCATTCGGTCTGTTGTAAATATACACAGCGTATAAATAGAGGATACTGAGACCTGAGACATTTGGATCCAGTTCCGAGGAGGAAGAGGTTTGTGTTCTGCTGTACTGGGTGGTTTGGTGCAGGGTGTCCATGACTGTGGTCAGGTTTGAGGGGGTACGCGCACAAATTTTAGAACCGCTCCTGCCGTCATTGCTGCACCACAGGCTCAGTGCAACATTTCATCTGCTTAATGGTGGATTAAAGCATCCTGTGGGCAGATTGATATAGGCTGGTGCTATCACTTGTCTTTAAAGGAGAGCAGAAGCCCATGGAAACAGGCTGGATATAGCAGCTGGATCAGACCCAAACACTGGGCAACACATCACTGTAGATGGAAATAATAAAAATATTATATGCCTAAGGAAATTAAACAGGACTCTAAAGCCATATATATATATATATATGCTTTTCCTTTAGTTATTAGCTCAAACCCTGCACAGTAGTAAATTGAACTTAATTGTCTATTAAATAGAAAAATTTATATTCTATCTTACTCATGCTGACATATTTGATATATGTATCATAAAAACATAATTCTTACTCCATCCAAGTCCCTGTTTAAGGTTTAATTAACACCAATAATGATGTAACTACACATTTACTCCTAGACAACACTGGTTCCAAAAAGAGAAACGCGGCTACTGACCCAGGAATGTGTGCAGCACAATGTTGGGGGATTCCTGTCTTTTAACACTGTCACTTTGAACTATATGTGTTTGCACCTGGACCTCATGTTTGCACATACAGTAGAACAAGCCAGGGGCTTTCTGAAGAACAGTTTGTAGAAGTCAGTGGGGGACCAGCGCAGATACAGTATGATGTACCTAACAAATGGTAATTGACCTATTAATTATTTTCTCAGAGAAAAGAAGCAAAAAAGGGAAATGGTGCCCTGTCACTTTCCTTCTGTCTGTCTTCTTTCTGTTGGACATATAAAGTATTCTTAACTCTCACTCATGTCAGCAAGACAAGAGAGGAGAAATATCAAGTCTTACATCTACCACAGGCTGTTTAGGGTCATATAACAAGCTGCTGGTTAAATTTTAGGAATTTACTTAGTTGTGTGGCCAAGATTGATCAAAGTGACCATACAAACTTTAAAAAAAAAGTAACTGCCCTCTAATGGAAGATAATGCCAAAACATTTGGAACAAAGTTAGAAATGACATCACAGCAATTTTTCAGCATAATGGAAACTTTAATACTACTGAATGGGAAGAGCATGGAGAAGCAAAATGTGGCATCTATCATAAATTTATACATGAACACTGATTTAAATCTGACAATCATATACTGTCTCACTTATTTATATATTATTCTTATTATACTTTACAAATGCTTACTGAAAATACTTAAACCTTATGACACATTTTGTCATGAGTGTAGAGTGTGAAGAGTTGTCGTAGTTTACCAGGTTGCAAGCCCGCATTTGAGTATATCTTGGGGACGTGAATATAGACTGCCAATGCCTGTATTTACAGTTATATTGCAAAATAACAACACATTTATTTACATTATATATTCACCATCAATACAGTAATTATTAATAATTAAAAAAAAAATTTATGTCTACCTTATTGCAAAATTGTACCAAAAAAAATTTACCTTTAGTCTATAAATCCAGCAAATCTTGACTTGAACCCTCTTGATCACACTTTTCAATATACACAAATTCTGTTATCAATAAAATGAGTAAAAAGCCGAGCTCAGCTGACATTTAATTTGGAAAAAGCTGCTGTGTTACAACACATTCATTTCCAACAGGAAGGCAACAGCCAACTAATATCTCACACAGTTTGAAGAGAAGTGTCCTTCGGTCGAGTTTTCTTCAATCTGAGAGAGAGAAAGAAAAAAGGAACAGATGAAATAAGACAATGTATTTTGTTCCACAGTCATGTGTCCTGCAATCACCTGCTTTTTTCAACTTGTAGCTTTTGCTTTGGCCAAGTTTATGTGGCCTTTGCCATGACCTTTGACCTCTATGGAGAAACATCTGTTTGAGAGAAAGGATAGCTGACATAATCCCACTCCACATCTATTGATGTGATTTACGCTTAACCATTAAGCAGCTACAAAAAACCACTGTATTGCCCAAGGGTGAAGTGACGACAGAACTGGGAGGGTTCATCTTTGGATGTTTCCAAATATTTGTCTAAATAAAGATGTAGTTATCTAGTTCTGTTAATGGTATTTTTACAACAATTACTAGAAGACAGTGGCTGATGCTTTCAACCAGGTTTACTAACTTACTGACAGTCATTCAAACTCAAATCGTATCTGTCAAAGAGGTGTTTTGTTCTCAAAACCCCCACAAATCTCAAATTTGACCTGAGTTAATCTGAACTGCATCCAATATAAAGGAGTTTGGTTTTAGACCAGTCATGTGACTACTGGGGCTCAGGTTGCAGGTGAAGCTTCACATTGATCTTACTGCTTTGCTGAGCTGAGCCACAGGGGCAGATAGGGATCTGTGGAGACCAGTTAGCCACTATAGTGAAACCTGGCTGCTGAAAGACTGGGCATTCCAGGGGGGATTTAGGAGTGTGGAGGAGAATTCTCAACTGAATCCCTTGCAAGGATGTTCATTCTCCGCAGTCACACACAAAAGGAAAACCCAGAAATGTGATTCAGGTAAAACAAAGTGAGTTTGTGAAAGCTGTTTTTGAGGTCAAGTAAGCTATTTTTCTTCTGTTTTCTACTTAATTTGCATCTGAAGCAAGTATGAAGTCTGTAATAGCCCTTTGTGGAGACTAAAAACATTGATAAGAAATTTAAATCTTCACTGGTAACACTGATGATTACATTACCGACATTACCGCACAGCTAAACACAACTTAATTACATCACACGTCATTGAACTGATCTTGTATGTATTTTGTGAAGTGATGAATGTCTTTATTGGGGCTATTGACATGACAAGGGGTGTGCACAAAAACAGAAGTTGTAACAACTGGAGCGATAAAGTGCATCAGACCTGATGGATTGATTACTCCAAGGTTAAGTTTCCTGCACTAGAATGTAAAGGGATGTTTTTCACAGCTAAACAATATGCTGATTTATGGCTCAGCCGTGAATAACAAAAATATTAAGGAAAATATGTAGGAAACAAAATCTTGGAAATAGTCAAGTAATGCAGAAAATACTGTGTAAAAATAGTGTCTGATATAGCATTCAGTTAAGAATTTAGACAGAAATTGGGTCAATTGGTTCAAGTCTGGATTGGGATTATAAATATAGTTAGGTTTAAACATCGGTTTGGGTTTAGGCCCAGTTACAGCGGCATTCAAAACGTCGAAATATTGTTCTGAAATCAAATCAATCAATCAATCAATCAATCCGTGGATTCACTCATAGGGGCAAAGTAAATCCACACAAATGTTTTGCGTCAAGATCAACTTTCGTGAACTTTGACACATGCATTTCTTGTAAGGTGTGTTGCACCATTCACTTTTGCTTAATTCCCCTCTGTCAGAATGCGCTGAAAAAAAGACAATTAGCACAGCAATCAATGGTACATTTTTTGGATAAACTGTGTGAAGTTTGGTTAGGAACCTTGCTAGCACATCCAGCTTTTGTCACCCTTCAACAACTCTTTTTTTGTTAAATGATGTACAATCCTGAGAACAAAAGTCGGGTAAATAGCCGGTTACAGTGAAGACAGAGAAAAGTTTGGAGAGCTATTGTGACTGACTGATACTAGTTCAAAGCTGGCTAGTGTGTTATCAGTTAGCCCGCCAGCTGCAGTTAGCTTCCAAGCTTCAAGCATCTATCACCACCTATTTAGAGAGGACATGCTGATAAAGTGACCAAGCTTTAAGGTTAGAGAGTATTGACATCGGGTTGTTCACTTACATTGCCACCCTCTACCTTCTACTCATTATTGCCGGTGGTGTAACATATTGTGGAGAATACACATTGGGCTTGATACTGAGATTTCACAGCAATTCTTGGTTGCTTCCACATTCATATTTCAACATGTCCAAGCATCAACTCGCAGCACATGAAAGGAAACTAAAGCTTTAACATTTTTAGAAACTTTCATTCAACATCATCTGAGATTCCACCCGAGTTCACTTTAAACTCTGCGTGAATGATGAGAGGCAGAGATGTAATAAAGCCACGGTGCGACTCTGACAGTTTGACACTGCCTGAGGAATGTGGAGGTGATGCCAGAGGCAATACCAGCAGGTGAATCAACGCCTGTCTGTCAGTAGGCCTCCCGATCACAGCAGCCCTGCCAACTGCACAAAGCCAGGCCAGGAATGTCTAAACCAGCCTGGAGAGGACAATGGGAGAGGACAAGGCTGGCTCTGGGGATCGTTTGGTCCACTATTTTGTACCAGACTTAAATATCATGACAACTATGGGATAGATTGCCATAACATTTGGTACAGACATTCATGATTCCCAGACGATTTATTCTCCTGACTTTTCCATGTTTTGTTTAGACTACAATGTCTCAACAACTACTGGAGGGATTGCAATTTGGTTCAAACATTCACGTCCCCAGGATGAATTGTAATAACTTTCATGATCTTTAGACTTTTCATCCAGCGCCATCATCTGGCCACAACCTCAGCCGTTGTTTGTGTTTGATAGCAATTAGCGAAAGTTAGCATGTTAACACACTAAACTAAGCTAGGGAAGCTGGTAAACATTACCCTCTAAACATCAGTATATGAACACTGTCCGTATGAGCATGCCAACATTTATCATTGCAGCTAAGAACAGCCTTACACAGTTGCTAGCGTGGCTGTAGACTCTTAGTCTTTTGGGTGATTTATGAAGTCTAGAATTTCAATCATGACAAATACCTTCCTTAGAGATTGTTAATACACAGCTAAGCTTACAACCTGATTTATTTTACAAATGAAGCTATATGTTGCTGTTTTGTTACAGAGCTCACACATACATTTTTGGGTGAGGTCACAACAGGAGATCAGTGATTTCTTCATTCTCTGCAACAGAATATAAACATTTACCTAATCCTGTCCCCAGGGAACCAGCAACGCAAACAAAACCCCTGCTCCTCAGTGATCATGACAGATTTCTAAACTGCAGTCAGTTGTCATTACCTCAACATAAACTGGACAGCTGTTTCCTCTTTACAGAAGGTGCAACAAAAAAAGAACAAAGCATTAGTGATCATTAGTAACTAGGCAGAGTAGAGGCAGCTCGGTCAATAGATCACAAAATGTCAAAAGTGTGACTGTTCACAACTAACCCACTGTGAGTCCACATTATACGACTGGAGTGCTGACTCTATTTCTGTGTTCTCTACAAATTGTTTTCACCATGTTCCTCCCCCTCCTCTTTTCCTTTGTTGAGAGACGTGCAGCATGGTGTAAAAGTGAAACACACACTGCTAAACTAAGCCCTATAAATGTTTTGCAGGCCACCTGCCAAAGTATGGACTGAAGTTGTAAAATGTCTAAGGTGTAAATAGTGAAGGTCAAGGCCTCGCATACATGCACATCTCTTAAAATAAAAAGACGTACGTTGGGGCATCAGGGAAAGTAGAGGTGAGAAGTATTTTAAGAGACAACTTTCTTTTATCTTGAGTAGTTATTAGTACTAATTCCTAATAACTCACCCATTCATTTATAAATTTATTTATAAATTTAACAAACTGGCTTTATTAATTGTAAATTAATAAGCTACTAATGATTTATGGAGCAGTATAAAAAATTAATTAGAACAACTTTTGACCAAGTTGTGGCTCAACAACTTATTAAGATTAATTCATGTCTCATAACTGAAGTAACTGAGCAAAGCTTGAATTAAATGATCTATTCAGCATTAACAAAGCTATTAGTTACAACTGATAAAAACCTTTATACAAGATGCCTTATCAGAAAGTGTTACCCTTGCTTCTGAACATGCTTTTTCCCATCACTTTAAATCATTAGTTGTGTGTTTCCTGTTGGCTGTTTGAATTGGAGTTGTGAAGGAGAAATGAGGCCCTGCTATAGGGTGACACTAAGACCAGCCAGTGAACAGTTTTTCATGTCTCCATCTATTTTTCTCACAAATATTGTTTGTAATTTAGTTCAGGTTCTGTCATGTGCAGTGGTCTTGTTGAAATGTATCCCAGTTTGGTTTTCACATCACAGCAGCCGACATACATCCAATTCTGCAGAGACTTGCTCAATGACAGGCCAAGAATGCGAGCGAGTTTGCTCTGACATTGAGGCCACATTATTCTCCTGCAGTCACTGTGAACCCTTTAATTAGGATTGTCTGACCTATAACCTTTGGAAAGGACAACCCCAGAACTTCTTCAGGTCAAGGAACCAAAGAGGGAAAAGGACTAACCCCATGGTTTTGATAAAGAGGCATAACACAGGAAGCTAACATGTGAGACACGAAGGAAGGTATCGATCTGCTGTACATGTGTAATGACAGCACCCGGAAAGGTTCTGCATTGGTTTCAGTTGACCTCATTTGTCAGTGTCTCACTTCTTTCAACAAAAGCAAACCACGACCTCATAAAGGGCTCAGTTTCAAAACAAACTCACCTGAATAGTTTGGGAAACAATCAGCTTGTCCCTTTGCTCCATTTTGTTTGGTGCACAATTCCTAATATGTTGACAGGGCGTTAAAGGGAATGGCATCCTCAAAACACCACTGACAGATTTATTATCCTTATATTTTGTCCAGGAAGGGACAATTGTATTCCTGGAGTGACTAGTAAATATTTTTCACTTATAAATTAGACTGTACTTGTACTGATATGAGAGCGCTATTGATCTTCTTACATATCTCTTGGCAAGAAAGTGAATAAGCAGGTTTCCTAAAATGTTAAAATATTTAGTAAAAATAAAGTTTGAACTTCAGCCATATATTATTATTAAAAAAAATGTTGTTCCTTGTTTGAGATATTCCAAAGAAAAATATATGGTCTTTAGAATAAAACCCTTCATAAAATGCTTGGAAAATGATTTGAATGGTCTGCACTGACACTAGTGATCCAGTCTAGTCCAGTCCATCATCTTACAAAGCTTTGTAGGTTAACGCTGATAAATCAAACCAAATGCCCACATTTTTATGAATGCCTGCTGGTGTGTGTTTGCCAGGATGACGGTGTGTTTGAGGATCATTCCCAAAACACTGATGAAAAAAGTGAAAGGCTCTGAATCATTACTAACTACATTTACACGAGAGTATTGCTTAGGAAAACACTTAGTCTGTGACCAATCCTTCTACCTGAGACTGCCCGACACTGACTTATTGTTGGAAAAGAAGTGGTGACACACCGTCGTCAGCCTTAAAAACTGCATGTGCAGCAGGGGCAGCCCTTTAAGCCCTGTAATAATGCAAGTCTAATTGTTATCTTCACCACTTTGCAACTGCAAGTTTTAGTTTTTAATTTTTTCTTACCAAAATAAAGTTTGTGGTAGGAAGTGTAGGGAGGAAGGGGCAGAACCAGCCTCCACCAGCTGTTTTCTTCTTGAGTGTGAGGGGAGTGTCAGTCTGGGCTTTCCGACAGTCCCTCCCTCCTTTAAAGCTGCCCAGGTGTAATGGTCTAACTGCCAATCTGAACCACATCAAAACTCACGAGCAGGAAGCGTCTGCTCACTGTTATTACTGAGATAAAGATCCTGCGCTCACCACATACACTATTGTCATTCTGCCCACCATAAATCACCTGCAATGTTTACACCTGCAATATAGCCAAAGAAAGTTACCTCTGCTGTAATGGTAAGGAGGGAGAAAGAGGCAAAAGGCTTTAAAGTCGAATGTATATTAATATTTTATGCTTTTTCATACCTTTTATTCCCCTGAAGTTAAGCACAAAGGCTCATGAGAGATTAACTACCCTCTTCAGGCTCAGATCCTTGACCCTCCTCGTCTTTGTGACCTGTCTCTGAACCAGCAGCAGCAGCTCCTTCAAATAAGAGCCTCTGCGAATAAAAACAAGTTGCTTCTAGCTGACTACTAGCCTTGTCTCACACAGTTAAATCTTAGTCTGTCACTCTCTTTCACTTGCCTCCTCCTCTCTGTGAAATATTCATCCCAGGCGGTACAGACAATTTACACCAACATTAGCCATCAAACATGAAAGCCCAGCTCTGACTGGAAAATAACACTGTGAAGTCCCAGGTCTAATTATGCTGGTTTAGTTTATGACCTGTCAGTTCATATCCATTATCCACCGGCACAGAATGGCAAACAGCCTTTCAACTTCAGTTTCCAGCTTGCTCATCATTTCCCAACCCAGGTGGGAACAAGTAAAGACTTCACTTTTTCTTTTCTCTCCTGTTTTCCCCAAATTGTGTTATTCACTGTTTTACAACACGTGTTCATTGTGTTATTTTAGAGGGCCAGCTCTTATGCCACAGAACAGTTTCTCACAGTCTGAAAAGATCCAGCTGTCAGCTGTTATCTTTTATATGAGGTTTAAAAATCACTATTGATCCAAAAATCTCTTTACATTTAATCTAAATTAGTGAGTTTTTAATGTAACTTTCTGTATTTCAGGTGGTTCCAGTGACACTCGCATTATTCAGTTGGGGGCTCAAAGATAAATTGCATGCTGTCACATGTCTGGGTATTATTATTATAAATCACAAATAACTGAGAGTAAGATAAAAAAAAATGACTGCGTTCCATAACCTTGGATTGTGTTTTGATTTTTTATTTGATTCAATATCACTCCTGGACCAACTTAAGGCAAGTGGACAACTTCTGATTTTCTTTCAGTTTCAGTACATGTTACACCATAAACCTGATTCTAATTCTGATCTAAAAAAGATGTGTTAAACATATCTACATAGGGAGTGGGTCCTTTTCCACGGAGCTTGCCATGTTGCATGCCCATGTTTCTACAGTAGCCCAGAACGGACAAACCAAACGCATTTTTGTGTCACCTGAAGGCCACCGTAGATTCTCCTGCACGCTTGGAAAGTGAGGGGTAGGGGAGGGGTATTTAGTTTGTTTCAATCTGTAACCTCAGCGCTAGATGACCCTAAATCTTACACACTGGTCCGTCACACATATTCTTGATGTGAAAAATGACTTACTGGGACAGAGTCGTCATTAATGTTTCTAGCAAAACCTGTATTTTTTACTTGGAAACATATTCCAGTGACAGGTTTGATGGCTCAAGATCACATATCACATATAGTAGATTCCACAGTTCTCTTTATTGTCTCCATTTATGGTTGAAGTTTTACTCTCACTATGTGAACAGGTATTTCGTGCTGCAGTACGTACTAGAACTGACCACCTTTGCTGAAATGGAGATGCTTGGAATTTCTGAAGCTGGTGTTTTTGTGGGAGCGGAGATGATCCGTGACTGCTAACACAGAGCTTCTGAGCGGTTAGCTTCTAAGATGTGAGCTTATCATCAGCTGTTAAGAGCTGTGTGAATTCCTCGGGCCTCAGGCTTCGGCCCTGAGTGTTTCTGAGCAGATAGGAAGAGAGGGGGAGTGCAGGTGCAGATGTGGGCCTTACGTCCAGACGCACGTGATGATTAGACTGAGAGGGCCAATGTTACTTCCCGTGTGAGAAGAATCTCATCTGTGAGCGGAAGATGGAGCAGGAGTGAAGCCAAGCATGGTTTATAGTTAGCATAAATAGAGTGATTTTGATAGAAAAGAAGTGGTTTTGCTAAATTAAAGTAAAAGAGCAACTACTTTTTCATAATTATTTAGAGCATATAGGCCTATAAATGAGCATGCACGTTCTTTATGACCCTAGAAATACCTGTACTGGCTACTGGCGTTTTCCCCTGTCAGTGCATTGACTTTGCTCAGTTGTCATCACATGTTATTGCCTAAGTGTGGATCCTTGTTCACATGATAATGATGACAGAGACTGTGAAATGAAGTTGATAGCTCCGGAAAAAACAAGTAAGTGGATTTAGAGTTAAAAGTTAAAAGTTTTGTCTGCAGACCTACAGTTACTTAACACATACAAATCTATTAAAACGACCAAAAAGGAAAGCAAAGGTAAAGGTAAAAGCAAACAGTTTAAATTAATGATATACTATATGTTGTGATACTATCTCTTGCAGTGAGGCTCAGCTTTGGATGCAGCTTCCATAATGTGTATTTATAAACCACTGGACACCAAGCTATCAGTGTGATTTACAATTCTGGGGACGAGCACATTTTATAATTTTAGATTTAATGGTTATGACTCCTAACTATCTATTTTTAATAATTTAGGACGAGAAGCTGTAACACAGGACTCCCAGTGGTCGTATGCGATCTGTTGACCTGAACTCTGGGGTGGGGGTTTTCCCTTTACTAACATCTGAACTGGCTGAGCAGTGTGGCAGCTGCAGCAGAGCATTCATCCGCTGTGTCCTTACCAAGTTTTTGAGGAACAGGACAGGGGCAGCGAGGCAATAATTTCACACTGGACTGTCGAGGGCAATGTCCCAGAAGATCTTGCTCGACTCCAGATCTGTTGAAAAGACAAAGAAGTGCATTATGATGTTAAACTCAAAAACAATTTGTTTGTTGGTCAAATGTAGGAGGATAACAGTAAATACTTAAAAATCTATCTTTAAATGTGACAGTACCTTGACACTTATACTTGATGCAGTTAGTAATTAAAACAAAAAAAAAAAATCAGCGGAATTAACCCTCCACTTTTTCTCTTCTTACCTACACAGATAATGTATAAGACTACTATTACAAGTGGGATATGTTCTGATTATTTCAAATCTATCTTAACAGCTGATATACAGTACAGCACATATGTAGGAATCTATTGAAAGAGTTCATCATTGTAACTGCTCCTCATGTTAAGTGATCACATCCCTTCCTAGGTCCTACTCCACTGTAAGAGATGGGATTTATGAAAGTGTTTACATTTCAGATAGTAGAGGGAATTACAATGACTATTTGCAGGGGACACATATTTTAAATACCAACCTGTAATCTGAATGAAGTTAGCATTGTTGCTGTTGTTGTCATTTGTCTCCTTCAGCGATTCCACTGAGGTCTTGTTGGAGACAGCGCCTTCATCATCAGTTTTCTCCTCCATGCTCGGCTGCACTGGAGCAGGAGGACTCTGCTCAACAACGTCCTCTTTAGGTTTGTCCTCAGAGCCAGAGATATCTGGAGAAGGAGCTGGAGCTGGAGCTGCAGACTCAGCGGCGGTGGGATCAACGACAGATTTATCAGCCTCAGCTGTGAAGGACAAAAAGCAAACCATAAAGCTTTTTCAGTGGTTCTCAAAAGCATTAATGCTGTTTTTTTATTTTGCATCTAGTTAGCAAAACAAATGTAAATGAAAACATGTGGATGACTACAAACAACACACAGCCTGAGTCATATTGAAATACATTGGAAAGACCCAACATTCATCATGTCTTGCTATTTTAATAGGAAGTTAAACTGTTGCAATAGATTAATTGTGTAATGTTGTTGAGACATTTTAAACTTCTATTCTTCTATTCTGTGTTTAGCTGCCACATAATAACAGTATTTCCACTCATAGCCTGAAGTGGTTTTGCCCTCTCTGACAGTCGGGGTGGGGTGGGGGGTGGGTTTCTCCTGGGCAAAGGCATTTGGGGAGGCCACCATGTTGGTAATGAGGCGGCTGATTACTGACCAGTTCCTAATGAGCTACAGCCATGCAGCTGTTGGAGGCTGTGGGAAAGTAGGGCGGCCCCATCATTATCTGACCCAGGGTTAGGTGGAGGGAAAGCGGAGATGAAGGGGAGAGGAAGGTGACCGTCGTGCTACACATAATTCTGCCTTGACTAAGATGGCTCCTCAGGCATCATTCCAACCTTAAGAGAATCATCATGTCTGTCTGGTTTACTGTGGATGACTAGACTCTTTATTACAGGTGGACTGTTGACCTGACTGTCAGCTTAGCATTCTCATTTCATATACTGACACAGGAAATGTGCTCTGCAGGCTAATTGGTATTATGTTAAAATATATTGGTTAAAATGCAATATTTAAATAAGTTAAACATTTTCTTCCAGGGGTTACATGAATACTCTCACGTCTGTGCGTTAAGCACTGAGCTAGAGCCAGGAGGAAGTTAGCTTAGCATAAAGACTACTCGGTAGATGGATAAACTGTTGTTCATACAAAAACACCACGTGACTCTGTCTAAAATACCTCAAGAACTATCAGATGGAGAGTCAAGATATTTCGAACAGATATCGAAGAAGGGTGATCCCGATTTTAGCCGATATCTACCACCACCATCAGGTCAAAATGTGTTTATTTGCTAATAATATCCCAAATCAACCTAAGCTCTAGTTTGAGTTTAATGCTAATTAATAAATGTTAACATGCTAACATACTAAACTAAGACAGAGATGCTAGCTGTTAGCATGCTGACTTTAGCATTTAGCTCAAAGCGCTGCTGTGCCTAAGTACAGCCTTACAGAGACTTCCACAGCTAGCATGACTGTAGACTCTGTCTTGTTTGTGAGTTTAAAGCATCATTAAGGCCTAAGCTTCAAGTGAAATACCTGTCGGATGGCTGAACAGCATCTCAAAGCCACTTGAGTGTATGTTACCTGCGCTTTAGCATTACAGAGCCCAACAGTAGTGACGTCAACACGTAAAATGACGAAAATAGATTTGAAGTATAAGAATAATCTCCTTTGCGTTAACACATATATAGTGCGAATGAAACACAAACCTAAACGCTTGAATTCCTTTCCTTAATTTCCGTCACATGCGTGAGACTGACGACTGAAGAACTTATCTAAGACGTCTCCTGTGTTCAAATGTGCGCTGTTGCGCGAACATTTATCGTGTCTCGAGCACACCTTGACTTTAGACAAATAAGATACAACCATGTCTTATTGCTAATCTAAGATAATCACCAATAACTCTAGCTCAGTACCCCAGGTCCACCTGCACAGGTGATGTCACTTATTTCAGCTGATTAGACCATTACTCAGGGATGTGTGGGATGGTGGGCCCCTCCAATATTTTTGCTGGTTTCAGTACCTCTGTGTGCATCTTTATAGATAACTGCCATGTCCTTCAGTGTGTCAGTGCGACCGTTTTCTTAGCGTCTTTATGTGGGCTGTATCTATAGTTATAACACAATTATGCATCCTTGGCCAGTTCTGTAGAAAAAGTTTTAAATCGCAATAACACATTTCCCTATTAAGTAAAAGAAGATAAAGAAGAAGTATTGTACATAAGCACTCAACCCACAGGAAGTGACTAATCATTTGGAAAAGATAAATAAATGAAAATAATAAAAATCCTGATGAAACTTGATTAACAGTTGATTATTTTTTGCCCCTTTTGTCACTTCACTATCCTTTGGTATGAGACATAACAAAGCGGCCATGGTGTACTTATGTACAGCTTGCAAACGTCAGCTTACAAACTTTCAGTCTAACAGTCTAATTTTTCAGTTACCTCATACAAGTTGCTTAAGTTACTTTAGTCATAAGTTTGCAGGATGATGTGTGTTTTCTGGTAACACTTTTTTTTCATGCTTATCTCATGCTCTCATTCAAGTAGTTTCTTCCTCTCTCTTCTTCTTACTCTCTGTGATGAAAAATGACATTTTCTGTCAGAGCTACTGTCACAATAACCCAAACCCAACCTGTTTCCGAGGGGCCCCTAAGGATGGGGTTAGACTGTATGAGTGTTTCCATGAGGTCATGGGTGTGGCTTTGTGTTAAGCAAAATTGTGGTTATTTTCTGTCTTATCTTGCATATGGACGTAGGTGCTGTAACAACAAGCCTTGGCGAAGCCAGAGGTTTTGTAATTGTGGAAACCATAATTTGCCAAGCGTCTGGCTGGTTTCTGCAGAGTTCCCTTTAGTGATTGAAACAAGTGAGCCTGAGTGCACTGGACAAGCAGTCATCATCAGATCAATCTTTTTGCATTCAACTTGAACCAAGCAACAATTACAAAAACTGGCTCCCCACCTGCTCTGATTGCTGACAAAGTTTCATTATTTCTTTCCCATGAGTGGAAATGAACCATTTGAGCTGCTTTTCAAAGCAGCCATCAGCACTGTCCGTTTTAAACAAAATGTGGCTCAAGGCAGAGAGACAGGCCCAGACATGACTGAACCTTTTACCTTTCAACATGGGGAGACCTCTGAGTAAAACAGGAACACAATCAGGACAAGAATAAGCAATTTCTTTTTCTTTTTGCTTGAGCAAATTGTACACTGGGGGACCAAATGTTTGGTTAAAAATGTAACATAAGATATACAACTCACAGAAGAAGCATTCCTCTTGAATTCACAATTATTTAATATATGACTTGCTGCCTATGGATTTGGTATGCTTGTATCTGAATTTGAATTATACAGAATAACACTACATGTCAAAATGACAGGAGATATTGGATATCAGCTGTAGTCATGGTAGACTGCATTGGCTTGTAATTTGTTAACTTGGCTTCCATTTCCATCAAGTGGTGGTCTTTAGTACTGCAGGACACATATCATTTTTTTTCTCCCTTCCAACTAAGGAACAGTTGTTTAGTTGTGCGCACACTTTCCGTCACAAACATTTCAAAATTTTCAGTGAGTCCTTAACTGATCTTATCTTTGCACAAGCTCTTTTTTATGCTCCGTGTGAGTCAGGTGTTCTTGCATAACGTCAAATGTCCCTTTCTATGAAACCAACTGTGGTGATAGACACACTGTGGTATCATATTTTACAAAGTTGTATAATGTGCACTAAAAATCTAACATTGTTTTATTAGGCTGTTAAATCTGTTAAATCAATCCTTCCCTACAGGCATCTGGACGTTCAAACTACCTCACTTGATGTTAGTGTTAGTAAATATAGTGCAGAGTGCTGTCACAAACCACACTTCCTTCTACTAAGTTTAACTGATCTTACAAAAGAGGAAAGAAAGTAGCACATACAAAATTTAAACTCACAGCTAAAAGAAATGCTCTCCTTTGTCTCTCTGAACTCCATTGATAACACACAACAAACAAAATACTTATCAGTCACAGACTAGCTCTCACTTTTCTGCTCCTCTTGCACTTCTGGTGGTGCTGCTGGTTCTTGTGGCTCTTTCGTGGTAGTTTCTAGACTTTCAAAAGTTTGCAGACCTGAAAAATGTACAAGGATCAGGATTCATTTTTGTGCAACAACAGAACAACACAACCCCTTTCAAATTTGGAAGAAGTGTTTTTTTAATCTATTCTCATAGATATTGTTCTTCATATACTTTGACTGACCATTTTGAGCAACAGCATCAGCAGGGTCCACAGGCTCCACAGTGCTGAGAGGGATGTTGGCTTCATCTGGTCTGGAGGTGAATTCAACAGAGTAGCGCTGAGGCGATTCAGAACACACACAGAAAAACAAACATCAGTGCCACAACATTTAAGAAATGGTTTGATATTTTTGTAAATGGGAAGCTCGATACCACTTTCATGTGTGAGCAATGAAGCAAGAGCCTGCAGCCAGTTAACTTAGCTTAGCTCAAAGACTAGTGACAAGGGGGAAATGGTGGCCGGGCTTTGTCCAAAGATAAGAAAATCCGCCTTCCAGCAACTCTAAAGCTCACTAATTAACCAATTAGATCTTGTTTCTTTAATCCATACAAAAAGTGAAATGTAATGATAACAAAGTCCTGGTTTTACAGAGTAATTTAAGTTGTGTAGCGCATGTAAGTGTTTTTTTGTATGGATTGAATTAACTAGATGTAATGTGTTGAACAGTACATACTACCAACTATAACTGTTCCTGTTTGGAAGTGGAAGTGAAGAGCTAATAAACTCTACTTACTCTTCCTCTCCTCCGTGCAAGGAGGCAAGCGAGTCCAAATCCAACACTTACAATGATGATCACAACAAGGATGATAATACCTGAAGGAGCAACAGTTCATGTTTATAAAGACATTTCTCACGCTTAGCGATGCAATGTGGATGCAGATAAATCTATTGTGTGTGCCTAAGCCTACAGTATAGATACAACCTCAAAAATACATTGTGGTTTGATATCATTTTAGATTTTAAATTTAACTCACCAACATTGTCATTTGTTTGTTGTGGCTTGGGATTGGCTGTTGCTAGAAATACAAAAAGGTATATTTAAAGAGAAAGGGTTTACTTGAAACAGTGCCAACAATTAAATGTCACCTTCTATTATCAGAAGATGATTGGGAAAGCTGTTGCTTTAGTCCATCCTTACTTACATATTCAACTGGTTCATGTATCTAAGATCATTATTCACTTTGGTCTCTACCAACTCCTGAGGGACACATCTGGATTTTAGCTGTTAAATGCTCCACTATGTTCTAAAGCTAGTTACCAACTTTTCAGTCAGCCCTTAATACTCGGCAGGTAGTGTACAGTGGGTTTATTAGAGCCTTTTCTCTAAAAGCAGCTGCCTAATGAGGCGGGAGGGTGATGAGGGATGTGAGAATGAATTTAAACAGTAAAGCTGCATGCTGTAAAACCAAAACAACTGTAAGATACTAAAATTCTCTGTAGAGCTGAGGAAATCTGTGAGTTTGGTGAAAATTTTCTGAGGCAATGCAAGTGTCAAATCCTCAAACTAATCAGGGAACACCAAATTGTGGAATATAGTTAATTCATAAGCAGTCTCCACTCACTTGTCGACACTTGGGTACTGGTGGCAGATGTTCTTTTAGAAGGAACAATGGGTTTAGGTGTGGTCAAGAGACTTGTGGGCCTTTGGGAGGCTGTGCCACCACCTGAATCAGAGAAACACAAGAAAACAGACAGGCACAACCATAAAAGAAGGAAAACACAATGATGGATGGATTGGCTCTCAGGTCCAAAATCTCTGACGGAATTGGTTTTGGGTAATACAACATTTCTGGATACACACATTAGGCTATAAAAAGTTCAGATAATAGCTTTCACCTCTCTGCTTTGTTGTTGAGGGCATGATGGTGCTGCTGGTGCCATTGATGTACATGTCGCTAGTTGGACTGGAGATACTGCTGTCGGTGTTTGGGTTGGTGGTGCTGATGGAAGGTGCATTGTTGGGGTTACTGTCATCAGTGCTGAAGATATGGGTGTTAAATTCAGTTGGAACTGTGGCTGGCCATCTGCTTGTTGAGTCCTCATTTGCTATGGCCGAAGCCACAACCAAACCTGCAGGAAAAAAAAAATGACCAAAGTTTAAACATGAAACATTTGTATTTTTTCTTTTTCTGTTATCATCGAGTTAAGATCCAACAAACCAGTAAGTCCTCCAACCTGAACATGTAGGTCATTTGTCCCCACCATAGGAGCATCTTTTGACAAAGCACCCCTATGGAGGCATGGCATACTGGACCTCATGTTGTCATGGTTACAGTAGTAAACACGTGGTTAAGCTTATGGAAAAGTAATAGTTTGGTTAGGTTTAGGCGCTTGGTTTGGGAAAATATTGTGGTTTGGATTAAAATATGTGTTTTCGTAAGGTTAGGTAACTTTTGTTGTCATGGTTACAATGATAAACACACAGTTAAGGCTGGGGAGTGGTCATGGTTAAAAGAAACAATGACGACTATTTGTTTCAAATGGTAAATGGGTAACCCGGTCCCGATGTTGAAGTCCTGTGTTTTGTGGACCCATCCATCCACCCCGATCTCCTACTAACATGGACTTTGTCGCTCTGTATACCATGTCAACAATAAACCGTAACTATGGGTCACAATAAGCTGCTAGCATAGATGACATATGGGCTTGTTTTTTTTTATTTGCTGACCCTCACAGTAGTTTTTTTTAACTGAAAACCTTAAAGGGAACCAGTCACGCAAGTACTGTATTTCAAGGTGTGGCCCTATATTTCTGGTGACGTTTTACTCATACAGTGTTCCGAGTACAGCATATAGCAGTCTGACTTGCTTGTATGTTTTTACTCATCAATAATTATCTTTAAATACTTTTTTCTTTGTTCTAATACATTATTACCATCTACAATAAATTACCTGAGCCCAGAAAGAACATTTGAGGATCAAGGCTTTCAGAAAGATATTGACAGCAGCACTTAACACTTTGTTAGTTATAAAATTAATGATTAATACAGTGATAAGCAAGATAAACACATAAGGAGCCTTACCCAGGATAAAGACAGAAGAACCAATCAATGGCATTGTAAGTTTGCTTGACAGCTGCAGTAAGGTGAAAAAATCTGCAAAGTCCAAATAAATCTTTGATCAAAGACTTATGTCCCCAAGTGATGCTTTCATACACTGCTTCTTCCTCAATGCCTCACAGCGTTGCTTGCATCTAAAGGCACCAAAAAAAGAGGATCAATGCCTCTGACCACAGCAGGATGTACAAAATTGCTTAAATGGTGTGAGAGGAAATATGCTGATGGTACATTGCTTCAGAGCAATATGAGGTTGCAGATGTTTATTTGCTGAAATAGCCTATAATCTCTAATGGTTCACTGTTGATCTAAAGTTTAGTGAACAATACGGACTATTTGTATCAACTTTGAGAGAGCAAATATTTTATCTCATATTTGCCTCTTAGTGTTCAAGGGATTGATTTGGCTGTTTAAGTCTTTGAATTAGTTTCCTCTTAGCAAAACTGTATGTAAAGGTTAGATTACCAAGAAACGGATAGTGTTACCAAATAGGTTACTTGGTACAATTTTTCCATTGTTGTCAGTACCAGTTTCTACTCACTAGATGTCGCTGTAACTATGGGGAAATATGCCAGACAGGCTTAAGGCAGTTGCCTTCTTTTCTTGCTGAAGGTATGACAAACTGAAGGTATTTCTTGTATGATACACTGTGAAAGAAAAGAGGTACAAAAGCTTCACAAAATTAAGCAATCATGTATAAGTTTAATGATAAAGATCAGTTACAACACTGGAGAAGCAAAAGCAGACATTGTGGTATATTTTGTGCTGTGGTGGCTAAGAAAAATATGATGATGGATGACTCAACAGATCAGTTGATAACTCAATCAACAGAAAATTGATGGCAACTATTTTGATAACTGATGAATAATTAAAGTCATTAATCAAGCAAAAATACCAAATTTCACAGGTTGCAGCTTCTCAAACATGATGATTTAACTTACCTTTCTTTGTATTATATAAATATCTTTGGGTTTTGGACCATTGGTTCAACAAATTATTATTCACACACATTTGAATACACCTCCTTGGAATCATGAAAAATATTTGTCACTATTTTTTCATTTTACAGACCAAACGATTAGATAATCAATCAAGAAAATAACTGACAGATGAATCAATAATGGAAAGTTATCAGTTGAACCCCTGAAAACCATATTACAAATCTGTAATGCTACTACTTTTTGGATGTGTATGTATGTGTGTATAACTGTACAAGTGTATCAGCATGAATTGTGTGGGTGGAGTTGTTGTGAGGGTGCATGTGTGCTGAGCCTTGTAGGTTCATTTATTACTGTTTATTTCCTCATGCCAGTGGTAATCAGCAGCAGGATTAGTGTTAACTGCCACCCAGTCACTGGCAGGCTCCACGTGGGCCACCTCAGGCCCCTCTGCCGAGTGGCCTGACCGGGTCTGTGCGGGACCTGCTCGCAGGAACTGGGAGTCCGCTAATCCTGAAGAAAGACCCCCGTCTGGCTTCCTCTCTGGGCCACCTATCACCACATCACAGAACCCAAGCACCAGCACTATGCCTGGCCCAGTGGATGAGCTAATGAGCACTGAGAGGAGAGGAGAGTAGAGCAGAGTAGAGTAGAGGAGAGGAGAGTAGAGGAGAGGAGAGGAGAGGAGAGTAGAGGAGAGGAGAGGAGAGGAGTGTGTTTCTATGTGTATGTGTGTGAGAGAGACACAGAGAGGGGAGAGAGCTGGACCACCCACCCGGAGGATTCAGAGGCACAGGATTCACAGCCCATTCTGTTGACCTGCCACACCGCCCCAGCTCTGGGCAAGGCCCTCCCCAATTGTTCCGCCTGCTAACATGAGGAGGGGGGTTAGACAAGGAGGAATGGGGGTGGACGAGCAGTAAACAGTGGGCTGAGCTTCTCTCCTTCAGCGCACAAAGGGGCTGAATTGTGTCGGGACTGGAGCACTTTTTAGAGTGGCCCTGCCATGGGGCCTGAATGAAACATCTGTGGAGGCTGAGCCCGAGGGAGAAAACGCTATTTTGCTGTTCAACCACACTGACAACCTGTTTTCTCTTTCTTCAAACCCCCCCCCCCCAAACACACACACACACACACACACACACACACACACACCACCACCACCCCTCACTGTTATTTCTCCCTTGGCCTTGTAAAACTATTCATACTGTATACTCACATTTGCCAAGCAAGTAACAGAGAAGCAACAGTAAATGAGGGAAAAAGCTGAAAGGTGACATTAAAGTTTGTTTGAGGATGCAGTCAACTGCAAAACTGCAGATTTTTACATATGCTTATGAACCGGCACAAAACTTTTTTTCAATTCAGTTTAATTCAATTTACTGTATTTCATCCAAATACATATTAAAAACATTCAATGTGAAAATTAGATTGAAACATATCAAACACTAGTAACAGTCTGCTGTGTACCGGCGTCCTGATTTCAGCACATATGTGAAAGCCTCTAGATTCCCCATGTACACTCCAAGTTTACTGTAATCACTCTGGCACAGCTTAGAAAACAATGTTTAAATCACAAGGACAAATATTAAAAAAGGATAAATGTAGAGGCTTAATTGTTTAAATGTATGAATTAACAAAAATTGCAAAAAAAAAAAAAACTGTTTAAAAACCTTAGAAGAAAACTGCCAGTTTATTACAACTTGGGAGATGTTTTAATAGTTTTTGCCATCACTTCTCCTATGTTATGATAACATTGTTCACATTCACCGAGTTAACTGCTGAGATCTGGCTTCACTGTGGTGTTAGTGATCCAAACCACTTTATTTGGAGTGGATCAGTGTTGATGGTTGATGATGATGATGATTACAGTCGGTTTAAAAGATTGTCATCAACTATAGTAAGGACAGTAGGTCAAAGTTGAAAGAAGGAGTCAGTGTATGACGTGATGGATGTTTACAGTATGTGGGTTGTAATTTTGCTGTTTGCCTAAATTTTCTCCTACGTTTGGCTAATCTGAGGGCTTGTTTAAAACCTGTGAGTTCGACTGACTGCTTTTCTTTTCTTGCCCCATTGAACTTCTTTTAAGCAATGTTGCTGCCTTTCCAGACCTTGACAGTTAACTAATGATAGCGATGGCAGTGATGGTTAAAACAGAAGTTATAAACTGGATCTGTACTTTGTGCGAGTCCGCAAGCTGCAGGTAGCCGATGTGCTTTCTTCAGATGGATACAGTGAATACAGTAGCGTATGGAGGCTATCATGGAGTGTCAGCCTCTATGGAGAGTGCTGCAAGTCCATCCATCCATCAACATCACCTCCGTAAACTCCTCCCTCCCTGAGAGAACCCCCCACACTCTCAGCCCTCTTTCCCCACAGCCCTGTCCTCCTCCACCATATGCAGCTCAAAGAGAGAGACTACTGAGACATTTCAGTTTAATTGAAGGGGAAACAAAGATCCCTGCTTACTTCCTGGTCACCCATTTTCTTTAATCAATTTCCTCCCTTTGGTCCTATATCATCTGTAATTACTTTCCCTTTCCCGCCCCTTGTGGGTCCCTCCTGGAGCAAAGGTCCACACAGAGACACACACACACACACACACACACACACACACACACACACACACACACACACACACACACACACACACACACATAAAGACACACACACTTATTGCTAACCCCCTACCGTAAGCAGGCAATACCTTCAGCATCAATACTCGCTGCCCCCCTTTGGCTCCTCCAGCCTGAACAATGGAGAAGACCCACTGGCTCCAGAACCCCACCAAGCAACCCCTGACCCTGCCCACCTACTCTACTAAACCCTTACACACACACACACACACACACACACACACACACACACACACACACACACAGGTTCATGTGGTATGTACTCTTATATTCCAGTCGTAGACATTGTCACACATGCACACAGCTCACACGAGCCTGCAGTGAATGGGGGGAGGGAGAAAAGGAGGGGAGGTGAGGACGGGGGGAGTAGGGCCACTTTAAATACCAGCTCAGCTTATAATCACTGGAGTTTGAACTTAGAAGACTTCTTATGCTAAGAGGTCAAGAAGCCAGAACACTCATTCGCTCTTTTCTTTCTTCCCGGCTGCCCTCTGTCACTCACTTCTCTCAATGGCTCTCTCTGATCCATAAGCTGGTTACGTACAGTGACACCAGCTGAGCTGCGCCAACGCTTAAATCTTCCAGCAAAACAATGAGTGTGTTGTCCTCCCGGTATTTGCAACAAGTATACATAAGTATGAAAAATTCAACTTTGACTTTCTCTGGCGCTTAAGCAGCACAAAGTGAATCTTTTGCCAAATGAAATTTTCTGGGGGATCTGAGCTTATTATTTGTGAACATTTCCCAAGGGAATTCATTGAATTTATCTTACCTGCCAAAATGAATTATGAAGACAATGTCTGTAAATATAACATCCATGTTGAACACACTGCTTACCTCAGGACATTTTGTGTACATCTGGATGAAAATTCCCTCCAAATTATACACCTTTATTGGACTTCACATTTCCCAAATATGACCACCCAGAGAACACAGACCGTACCACCCACGCACTATTGAGTGGATTTATCTCTCAGCTGATGCTGCTGTGCCTCATGAATGAAAGCAGCTTACAGTATTGGCATTGTTACCTTGTTTGATGCGGAAGCGAAACGTCAGAAACCCTTATATAAATAGGTGTTAACCATGGGAATAAGAGAGGAAAGGTGTTGCCTGCAGGCAACAATCACAATCTAAATGCCAAGGAAAGTGCTGTTGCAATACTGTAAAAAAAAATAAAGAGCTCAGGCGGAAATGTGTGTGTGTGGTAAAGACAGATCTAAATTTGGCTCCCAGTTAGTCAGCAGTGTAGTGGGATTACACAGACAGGAGGTAAACAGTGGTATCAACCAGAGGATACAGATAGTGCAGCAGCTAATGATTATTTTCATTATCCCTTGTCTTTTGATCATTTTTTTTTTTATCAATCTGGCAATGATTTGGTCCAAAAATGTCAGAGATTTGTGGAAAAATGCTTTTCCTCACAATTTCCCAGACTCCAAGTTGACTTTGTCAAATAGCTTGTTGCTAGAAACATATTCAATTTACATCAGTATAAAACAGAGAAAAGCAACAAATCCTTTCATTTATCATTAGTCAAGCAAAAATGTTCAACAT